TTCTTTTCCCTTATCTAAAGCTTGTAATTCCGAGGGTTGGATTGCTAGTAGGTAGTGTAGTTGTTCTATATCATTTACTAGTCTGGCATCTTTCAGGACATGTCTTAAATCTCATTCTTCTATATCATTTATTATGCACAGCGTTCCTACATAATTGTGTAACTACTTAGGTCATCCTCTATGTGTGAGTTGTCTTTGAAATATTCAATTTACCTTGTTGACTCATGCATTAACATTTCAGGCCTGAGACAATGGAGGAAAAATTGTTAAAAGAAGAAATTGATAATTTGAAGAAGGAACTTGAGAAAGAGTCTCCAATAAATTCGAACAAGGAATCTGAGGGTGAAGCTGGTATAGACCAAACCAGTACATATGAAATATTACAACAGAAAGAAAAGGAGCTGGAAGCTCTTGTCCGTGATTTGGATGATAAAGTACGGTTTGGACAGAAAGCCGTTGAGAGGCCAGGTTCATCAGCAGGAAGATCTTCTGGTTTTTCTGATAGGCCACCTTCTAGATCTGGTTCATTTGAGGATTCTAGAAGCGTAGATTATACAGATAGACCACGATCTCGTGGTACAGCAGGTACAGGAGATGTGTGGACCCGTCCTAGTGATGACAGAAGACAGTTTCAAGGTAGTCGGGAAAGGGGGTGGTTTTCTGGCAGCAGAGATTTGAATAGGTGAGAAATATACAATTCAGTATTTGCACTGTTATCTCACAATTCTTAGCGCCTCTGATAATAGTTTGCTCACTTTGGTTGTTATGTGGCTTTTAATTCAATTTTGTTTCTTGTATTTTAAATGTTGGGAAGTATTTGAGAATGGTTATATTTGTTGTCTGACAGGTCAAATTCAAGAGAGCGTTGGTGAACAGCAGTTTTGAGTGGATTAAGAGTTATCTTCAACTTTTGATGACCAGAACCTAATACTATTTTATTACTTGTCTTTTCTAATCGTTTTGTTCATTTTACTCCAGGCATTTGGAGCAACAATCATTGAGTACTGGCACAAACTTTTGCCTAATCTGTTATTGCATCTCGAAACATTGTAAATTTCTTTTTCCTCTTTCTGGTAATTTTTTGGGTGTCTGGATGAAGGCAGAAAGCCTGTAATTTTATTAGGACTAAATTTTTATCGAGGATTATTGAACTTCCTAGTTAATGTTAATGTGATATTGTTCAGATATTAAATTATATTCCTTCAATTTTGCATCTGCACCATTGCCAAGTTTCAACCCGCTTTCCTCTCTACCTGTGAAGGGTGGTCAGAATTTAGCATTGTAAATTTGCTGGCAGACCCATTATTTATGTTTGCAAGCTTCTTTGAGAAGCGTTTATCGGCTATTTATTTTTTAAAAACATTTTAAATTATTTTTGGTGAGATAATGTAAATAAAGAATAATAGAAACTCTTGAAATTTTTTATTATTTAAAATTGTCTTTTTTCGAGTTAGGTAAGAAAATATTTGAAATTTATCGTCTTTCTCTCTTCTTTCTTCCTTTTTCTCTTTTCTTTTAATTGGTATTTCTACCCTTTCTTTTCGTATGCTCTTCATTCTCTTCTCTACTCCCTCTCTCTTTATTTATTTATTTCCCTTCTCTTTCTATATATATATATATATATATATATATATATATATTTATATATATATATATATATATATATACACACACACACACACGGTGTTACAGTTCATATTTTTTAATCACTAAACAATATTTACTCTAGTTATTGAATATTTAATATCAATTCGTTTTATTTTTACAATGTCAGTTTTAAAATTAAAAAAACTAAATATATAAGCGTATATCAGAAATGAAATTACTCTACTTAATCTTAAAAATTAATATTTAAGAATTTTGAACTTATTTAACCAATCTTTTAAACGATGAAGGGAATTTAAATCAAATCATTTAGGTTTCAATCTTTTCAATTTTTTGAAATTTTAAATTTTGCTTTCAATTATTTTTTTGATGTCATTTTAGCTCAAGTGAATAGTGCTTTCTCGTTTAGATCTCCTGAATCTGATTTCACAATCTTTAGAAAAAGAAGTTTCAAAGAGTTCTATAGCTCATAATAAATGTAGTCTCGGTGTTGCAGAGGATTCTTCCTCCATGTGTTACATTTTTCTTCGTGCATCTCCAAAATTTTCTAAATACCTTGAATATTGGCTAGAGTAAAATCTTAATTTTTTTTTCTCTTTTTATATTTGATCTTGAAGCACTTACCCCTCACAATTTTACTCGCACGTAATTTCTTTCGCTCATTCCTCATGCACCAATCTTACACCCCATAATTTGTGTTGTTTTTTTTTCACACTCTTCATCCCACAACCTCGTTCCCTTTCATTCCTCCATTATATTCCTTTTCATCTTCTTTGTTTACACATTCATCAAGAAAGTTTCCATTTCTTTATATTTTTTAATTTTCTTATTTGAGGTCTTTTGCGGTAGAAATCCATTTTGATCATGAGATCTATGTAGGTAGGTGATTACTGAATTTTGAAATTTGATTTAGGATATTATCAGATTTCAAAATCTGGTTTAGATTAGTATCAATCAGATTTTGAAATTCGATTAAGAAAAATACTGAATTTTGAAATTTGGTGTATGAAATGTTACAAATTTGGAAAAGGTACTGAATTTTGAAATTCAGTTAAGTAGTGTATTGGATTTTAAAATTCGGTTAAATAGTGTATCGGATTTTGAAATGTGATTAAGTAGTGTATCAGATTTTGAAATTCGATTAAGGAGTCTATTGGATTTTGAAATTTAGTTAAGTAGTCTGCTAAATTTTGAAATTCGATTAAGTATTCCACATGATTTTGAAACCTAGTTAGTAGCCTACTTTGTTTTGAAATTCGATTGTAGACTATCAAATTTCAAAATCTAGTTATTTATTTTATCGAACTTCGAAAGTTGGTATATATAATTTCTTTTAATTTATTTTTAAGGGCTTATGATCTTGTTAGTTTTTCTTTATGTATATTGCTATTAATGTTTTCTTTTTTTGAATTTGATTATTATAAAAATGGAAAGAACCTGATGTGCCTCAACATATTGGCTAAGAATTTTACACATGGTGAAGCTAGAAGGTGATATATGACATTTGCTCGAGGTCGTAATGGTGAAGCTAGTGAAACTGCAAGATTAATTGATCGTGATGTTGATGAGCAGTAAGATGATGTTATTGAGCAACACAAAGATGTTGTTCACCAAGAAAATGAAGTGGTTGGATATCCTATAGGTCTACATGACACTTTTTTGCTAACTAGTTATGTTGATCACGTTGCATATGCATTATAGGAAGGTTGAGTTAGTAATGATTTTTTTTGTTAATAAGTTTTTTAAATTTTATATGTAATTATTATGTGTAGGATCAAGAGAGATAAGTTGGTCTCTCATGGAAAAAATTAAATAAATTTAGAGCATGTCATCTCGTTGTTTAAAATTATGTGTTGAATTCTTGTTTAATGTCTCAATGTGATATTTCGTACGTTTACATTGATAAAGGATAGATATTGGCATTTATTGATAAATGACATAGAGGGACAAACACTTTTCATGTCCCTGTGAGATGATTGTCACACTAGATGATGTGTCCATGCTGGTACATCTGCTTATAGTGAGACATTTGTTTGAATGAACCCCTAGACTTTGGAACAACTTTTTAAATTCTCATGGATCTTTTTGGACGTGGATCGTATAAGGACTACATTTGAGCTTAGACAATGTCGTGGTCCACATGTAAGACTGAATTGGTTAAGAGACGTATATCATGATTGTTGTGAGTACCAATTATGAGAGTATGCCGTATGGACCTATTTGTTGCATTTTGTTCCATGCACCATTTTTGTGGATAAGAACGTCACATACATCCTTGTATCCTACTTGTTTCTCTTTAGAGATATGCAATCATATGACAAATATGCTTGGGAAGTTGCTACACTTGGCCTCTTGTACGAAGAACTTGAAAATGCTATCTTTAAAAGACTAATGTGACATTATAAATAGCTTGTGAGACATTCAAAAAACATGCCTCAACAATAGAAGAGGTCTTAGTGTACACCACAGGAAAAAATACACCCAGGAGAGTTATAAATATAACACATTATCATGCTTTAACTACACAAAGAAAACTCATGACAAAAATTATATCACATTCTTGTGGTCATAAACAAATATATATTCACTTTTGACTATTTTGAGTCACATGCATGGACTTGAGTTACATGGAACATCAAAACAATACACTCGTTCAAAAGTAAGAAAAAGTAAACTTATATTATTTTTAATTTTGATTGGTTTAGAGCTCTCTACAAAGATTTCTAAAATGTCTCTAAATTTTAAACAAATGAAAAATGAGATAAAAGATATAGATAAAAGACAAAGAAAGATTTTAAAAAAGATTTTAGAAAGATAGTAACTTTTATAAAATAAACATCAATTAGTAAAAAAATTATTTACAATATATAATGTTTAAAATAATAAAATATCACCTTTTAAAAATTATTATTATTATTTTTTATTTTCTTAATGTTTATGGAGTTTAATAATCAAGTTAGCATGTACATCTTCAATTTAATCTGTTTACATAAACTCAAACATAATGTTGAAGGATACATAACTAAGAATAGTAATATTTCATTATAATTAGTTAAATAAACATAAAACTCTCTAATTATTTTAATTAATAATCCTTAATCTTCTTATAATTTTTAATATAATGGTATTAAACTACTTTACTTTATTTATAATTTTACTTTTTTATTTTTCTTTTCAATTTTTATATTCCAAAACTTATTTTTGTCTATTAAACTTTTAGTCATTTAATGTTTTTAAATAAAAAAAGAAAACCACTTTATTGAAATATAAAGAAAGAAGATACATTTATTTATTCTATTAAAAATAGAAGAGAGGTTACAGCATCATTTTATAATGGAAAAACAGTTAAATATAAAAATGTGAGGGGGTCTCTTAGTTTAAATTCTTCAAAAACCACAAAAACCATGTCCGAGAATATGTTACAATTTGTGAGATGGCTTGTGATTTCAACAACACTGATGCAGAGTAATGTAATTTGTGGAAGAGAAAGCAATTTCAGAGCAATTTTCAACTTCGGAGACTCCAATTCTGACACCGGCGGTCTCTCGGCGGCGTTCGGACAAGCTCCTCCTCCCAACGGAATCACGTTTTTCCACTCTCCAAAAGGACGATTATCCGATGGCCGCCTCATAATCGATTTTATAGGTAATACAAAGTAGCTATTAGATCAGTTCTTTACTGAAGCATCACCGCATAAACCTTTGATAAAAATGAATTTGAACAGCGAAGAGCTTGGGCTTGCCTTATCTCAGTGCTTACTTGGACTCGGTGGGGTCCAATTTCAGCCACGGAGCGAACTTCGCCACCGCGGGATCCACCGTCAGACCTCAGAACACAACTAAGTCTCAGAGCGGATACAGTCCCATTTCCCTAGATGTGCAGTTCGTGCAATTCTCCGATTTCAAAACCAGATCCAAATTGGTTCGCCAACAAGGTATTACACACACTTCAACATCCTGCATATGCAATTGTAAATTCAAATCCCAATATCACAAATTAGCTCCAAAGTTGTCTTTATTCAAATTGAAACTCCTAATTTTTTTTCAAACTTCTTTTGTACCAACATTTAATAATTATCGTAACATATTACTCTTTAATTAAAGACGTGGGAATATAGTGGGTAGGGATAGTAAAATATCTATAAATACGTGATTGTGTAATTAACATATCACAAATTAAAAATAGTATAATTAATAAGTGTTAAACCTAAATTAGTATATTTTTAAATATTGATGTAAAAACTAAAAAAAATATGTAGATGTACTGATTTCAATATAGACAGAGTATACTGAGACTCTTGGTACTTTTTTAAACATGTTTTGGTTGGTAAAAAAACTGATCGAATTTTAGCTTATCAGGTTGGTCTAATGGTTTGTAAAAAGTTAATTTTTTTTTATTTTATAATTGTCGTTGTACATAATTTTTTTCAAGATTCCCGATAATTTGTAAATTAAATCCATATATTTGGCAAAATTCACCGAGTTTCTTCTGATGAGAAAAATAGATAAATTGTGGCGAATATATAGTGTGGCAGGAACATTTTCTAATAACTATAATGTCTCCTTGGAAAAGGCTTGGGTTGGATTTGTACTCCTTCTGGTAAACTTTTCCTTCTTCCTTGGCTTTGTTCAACTGAAGGGAGAAAATTAGTGATTAAAATGGAACAAACTAAAAAAGGATGCTAAATGATAAACTATTTTAATGTGGTACAGGAGGGGTGTTTAAGGAGTTATTGCCCAAGGAGGAGTATTTTTCTGAGGCTCTATATACCTTTGATATTGGCCAAAATGATATCACAGCTGGCTACAAACTCAACTTGACCACAGAACAAGTCAAGGCCTATATTCCTGATGTATTGGGCCAGTTCACCAGAGTTATAAAGGTCAGTTATATATTTAACCTTTGTTTTTGGGATTCTCTAACTTTTCAAAGAGAGGATTAGCGTAATGCAAAAAGAGTGTGAGTGTGTAAGAATATAAATAGCCAAGAGTGTTTGTAAAATTTAAGAAATGTTGTGATTTATTTTTCTTTTATAGAAATCCAGAGAGTTCTGTTCAGACATCTCTTGTTATAATTTACTTTGATAATTTCATGTGGTGTATGAAATTTACTGAACCAATGTGTTTTGGATAATCAAATGAAGTAGGGTGTGTATGAGGAAGGTGGGAGGTCGTTTTGGATACACAACACAGGCCCGTTGGGATGCTTGCCATACATGCTGGATCGCTATCCCATGAGCCCAGCCCAAATGGACGAGTTTGGGTGTGCCAAACCATTCAATGAGGTGGCCCAATATTTTAATAAAAGATTAAAAGAAACTGTTGGGAAACTGAGGGAAGAATTGCCAGAGGCTAAAATCACCTATGTTGATGTGTATAGGGTGAAGTACACCCTCATCAGCCATGCTAAAAAATATGGTATGGCTTTTAATTTCTCTTTCATCGTTGTTGCCTATTTGAAGTTGGAAAATGCAGTGAAATAATAGTGTAGAATTTTTGGAATGAAAAGGTTTTGAGAAGGGGGTGATAGCATGCTGTGGACATGGTGGGAAATACAACTTCAATAATAGAGAGAGATGTGGAGCAAGCAAGAGAAAGAATGGGAGAGAGGTTGTGATAGCCAAATCTTGCAAAGATCCAAGTGTGAGGATCATTTGGGATGGAATCCATTACACCGAAGCTGCTAATAATTGGATCTTTCTGCAGATAGTCAATGGCTCATTTTCAGATCCACCTACATCATTAGGAGTTACAAATTCACGTTCTTGGAAGACTGAATTTTGATCTCTGTGCCTCAACTACCAGGTTTTACCAAGTGTTTGATGAATCGTGTTCACAAAGTTTATTCATCATTCATTGATATATATTTTTTACCAGAGTTTAACATGTTAATTATGATTGAGTTAGAGCCCTGCAAAATATTCTTGATTCTTGATTCAAATCTATTAAAAGACTGCAAAACTAAGCACATCTAGTAGAGAAATATGTTACATACAAAATAATATCCATAAAAATGTTTGAATTTTATTCCTTATATTTATTTTGTATGTTAAACTGGTGTCAACAAAACCTGCAAGTATTTGAATGTAGCTTGCAAAAAAAATAATGTACATACTTCATAAATTACACACAGGGAATATAATTTAAGTCTAAACAAATAAAAGAATTTCAGCTAAAAGTAATATCATTTGAAGTTAGTTAGCTAATTTTTTTACTATATTTGACATTTTTTCCAGATAAAAATAAATTTCACACCAAACATCAGATGAATTCAAAGTTACAGTATACTTTTTTTTCAACTTCAACTTCTTAATTAAGATTCAAATACAATTTAGTATCTTTTTTATAGTCTTGCGAATTGTATTATAAGTTGATCTTCCTATATTTCTTGTTGGTGTATTGATGGTAATATACTTGTACTTTATAGACATATTCATGACATATTAATGACTAGGATGGATTTATACTGATTATGCAGTTTATTATAATGTTATGAATTGCTTTGATAAGGGATTTGTCGTCAAATAAACTTGACATGCCAATCTCTTATTAATTTGATAATTCGATTGATAAGGCTAAGTTTTATTTTTCAATCCACTTTTATAGTATAACATTAAAACTTAAATTACAATACTTACAGATGAAATTGTAATGATTAATTATAATGAAATAATTATTAATTATAAAAACCATTAATTAATCACTTTTTTTAAATATTTATAATAGTAATAATAATAATAATAAATAACAATAATAACTGATAAGACGGGTCAAAATTTTCAAAGTGCGATCCCTTTGTTGTTGTGAATATTGTTTGGTTTCATATATTTTTTTATATTATTTTACCTAATAGTGTTTAATAAAGTAAGCAAATTTTAATTTATTTAATGGTAACAATTTTTTTACACAATTAATTTATTTTAAAAAATATTTTAAGCTAATTAAAATGGTAATCATCATCGCGAAAAGCCTACCCATATGTTTAGAATAAGCAATTAACTACTTCTAAATATTTACTCTCTGTAAACAGCATTTCACAATTTCTAGAAAATTTAAATACATAAATGTAAAGTATTTTTATTTTAAACTATTTAATAATTAAATATTTTATTTGAGTGAAAATTGAAATTTATTAAAAATTGTATTATCTTATTTTTAAAATATCTCCGTTCTTGTTCTAATCACTTATATTAATAGAATTTGAACCTTTGTTATGATTTGTTCTTAAAGATGAAAAAATAAAAAAATATTTCAACGTTTTTTACCTCAATTTTTAAACGAAATTATTAAGTTTACTAGAACATTCTCTATTAGAATAAAGATATTTTATTATCATAATTTAAAATTACCATCTGAGTTTTCAATGATGAACAAAACTGTTTTTGTAATAAAAATTTCTTGAAAATTTTACAATTGAATAAAAGAAAATTTCTTGATTAACATTTGAGGTTATCTAAGACGATGTTAATTACAATTCTATTAGTTAGATTATTTTTTTTGAAGTCTTTCATCACAATCTATTTTTTCTTTGCTAAATTTTCGGTTTTTAAATTAACTTTGAGTAACATTAACTCTTCCTATTATACGACTGAAAAAAAAAAGTTTGATATTACCCAAGAAGACGCCACTGAAGTTAATGAAGAAAATGTTGACTAATGTAAGTTAAACGATCACTGACCAAAAAAATATTCTTTGTTTAAGTATTTTCCCTCAACGCCCTTCATCGTTCAGTGGTCAACATTGGAACAACAGATAAATACTAATAATAAAAATATGAAGAAAAAGAAGAGTAAATTAATAAGAAAAAAAGCTATAAGTTCTTTTTGCTGAAGGATGAAGAATCCAATCAAGTAGAAGTAGAAGGTTGATTTTGGTGTTGCAAAGTAATCGATCAAAGGGAAATGCTTGTCTGTGCAGCGAGCTCAGGTGTGACTCACACTCCTCCACACTCTTCGCTCAGCTTCTGCTATTCCAACGCCAAATCCCACCGAATTTTCTCCAATTCCGTCAGCCTCCCTATCACGCACAACGACAACCCTACCTCCGATTCCGATGACGCCCTCCGCCTCACCGTGCCTTCTGCCGCCGCTGTTGCCTCCGCCATTCGCAAGGCCTCCACCTCCCCCGTCCAGTTCACCCAGACCCTCCAGACCGATCGCCAAACCGGACTCGTGCTTCCCAGCACTGACTTCCATCGACTCTGTCTCCACCAGCTTCACCTCTTTCGCAGGATCGTTCCCGAAGCCCTACTCTCGGTTGCTCCTCTCTTTCTATAATAACCTGCGTCGTTCGTTTGTTGGGTTCAATTATGAGTTCAATTTCATGCATCAACTTGATGGACCGTTGATTACTACGATAGGGACTGAATTTGTTTTTCTGTAATATTCACGGCTGTTATTTGCAAATTTAGAAACTAAGTTGGCTGTTTCTAAGTAAGGATTACATTTTTTGTTTGTTTAAACTTGAACTGAGTTATGTGATTAGGGAGATATGTTGTTTTTGGTGTTCAGGTGTATGTTAGACCAGCTGGTAGTTATGTGATGGATCGGTTGGAGCTTCGACGGGTTGCACTGTACCCTGGAGATGCAGAGTCAGAGGGCATTGTCATTCTTGTGGGTCATTTTAGTATTCCTGCGGGCTTGCGTACTGCTGAGGCCACACTTTCCAATTTGCAAGTGTGTATATTATCTTGAGCACACAGTGTGCTTCTGCTTTTGTTCCACTATGCTTGATTATTCTTCTTGGGTAGGATAAATTTAATGCAGTTGTTGATTTTAATTGTAGGTTAATGTTGTCCCTGAATGCAAGGCTGTCGTTCTTCCGATGGTGAAACACCCATTTGTTGTTGGTTTCTTGGTTGCTGAGCTTCCAGTGGTGGAGGAGGAACAGTGTCAGAAAGCTCAAAGTGAGGGTCCAGATATCCACACGTCTGTTGAGGAAGCTTATTCGTTGCCTCCCTTCTTGGATTTAGACAAGAAGTCGAGGGAAATTCAGACCCTTCGGGTCAAGGACGAAAAAGTTGGTATGCGTAACTTCACTTCTGAGCAAAGATCAAATGCTGTCAACATTTCACAGTCTCTTGCTATGGCATATGTGATGGATCAGGTTTATAAGCTGCCGCCTTTGTTTTCCTTTGAACAAAAGAAGAAAATCCATTCATTAACTCATTACTCTTCAAATATGAAATGGTTGAAAGTTTTACAGTCCCCAAATTCTGTGGGATTTCCTGGAAATTTGCATTTCATAACAGTTGCTACTTGTATGTGTGCTTTGATAGTTGTTGCGTTGAAGTTCACAATTATTTTATCTATCAGTAGACTAAGTTACTGTTATGTTGTAGCGTGCAATGCATGTCTTTTAAGTTTATTTCTCTATGGCATTGTTGTATGGGTTCACGACTTTTACAACAATAGCTTTAACTTTTTGTCTGGACCTAAATTTCTCATGGTTATGCTCCTTTTACAGAAAGCAATGTTACTTCAGCAATCAACATGGCAGAATAATGTCAGAATGGGTAATCTGGTTGAGCAAGTATGGGTTATGGACTGTTGTTGCATTCCTTTAATATCTCATTTTCATCTTGATCTAATTTTTCTTTTCTTACAGATCCGTGGTCCACTTTCCAGTATTCAAACCTTAAGTAAAATCCTGTCTGCACAGACAAAGAGAACTCAGGTTTGAAGATTGTCTAAATTGTGCCTGATGAAATGTAAATTCACATACGTTTACATTTCTGTAAGTGGGAACCCAAGTAGCCAGTTGGACGAGGTCCAAGCTGAACCAAGTTTGGGCCAATGGTATGGGTCTGGCCATATGATCCAAACCCATGGATAAAACCCTGTTCTGGCGGGGATCATTTTTCCATTTTTGCGGGGGGTGAGATCAGGTTGTAAAATGTGTACTATGATTGTTATTTTATCTTAAAAATAAAAACTATGTCATTACCATGTTAATTATAAGTCACTTTCTGAAAACTGAGTATTCATACGTTACGTTTACAACAAACTGTTTATTTAAACTAGGTCAATCCATTAGTTGAATTGATATATGATCATGTCTAGTCTGCAATATAAGTGCACACGTATCATAAACTACCATTTTAGGCAGATTTAATATTTTGAGAATCCCTTGTTTGAGCATGCACTTTATGTGTACTGAATGTGCTACCTTTAGTAAGTTGGAGATTGCAGGCTATATTCTTATTCATGAGGCCTTGAATTTAATTCTTTTATTATTTTTATTGCAATAATATGGGAAGTTTTAGATAAAGGAATTACTGAATGAAAATAGATAATTTCAGAAAATTAGTGTGAACATGCTGCAAAACGAAAAAGTGTTCAAACTGAAAGGATATTGAATCGTTGTCCATACCTTATGATTTTTGTAAGTCAAGAATGTCTCATAATTGGTAACTACACAGATTTCATATGACATTGTTGAAGACCTCTTGGTGCAAGGTAATCGGTTGAGGGACGTTCTCCAACAACTACAGGATGCTGTTTATTTGACAAAGGTACTTCTTTCTTTTCTACTTATAATCATGCTAGCATGCAAATACTTTTCATTTACCAATAATCAATTAGTGACTTGATGTTCAATTTACGTTGGAAGATCTTGAGTTTTCATCCCTTTTTGTCTCTTCCTCTATATAATTGTTGCATGCAAAAATGTTCTTATGGGCAAATGTGTCTTGTCACAAAAGAAATAAGGGGATTTGAGTCCTAAGTATTACATTCAAGGGATTAATTCGTGATAACTGAATTCTCTAAAACCTTTTGTTACTCAAACGACAAAAAGGGATTATTACTAGAGAATCAGAAGAGAAAGAAATTAGAAACTTAAATCCTGAAGCACATGAAAGAGTTCAGTGATAAATTGCTTAGGTCTGTGACCTCACTTGCATTCAATTGTGGGATTTCCAATATCAATTGTGAATCCCCTCTTCTAACCTAAATCTGTGGTCTTGAATTGCTTATATTCTTTCCCTTACTGAAATACCAAGTTTGGTCAACTAAGGCACAAAACAAGAAAAGGCTAAGGAATCAAGTTACTTGTTAGTTTAATGATAATAACAGCCAATTGCATTTCAGGAATTGAGGTTTGATCATGCAATAATTCTAAGTGCGTCTTGGATTGAACTTATTTTTGCAGCTGGATAGAATATTTGAAAAAAGAAGTGACGATTTCCTTGAAATTAAGCCCAGTGAAGCATGATTTATTTCTATTTATGCTAGTAGTTTTAGTTCATTATGTATTGTCAGCAGTCTATAATTAACTAATGGCCAATTTCCAAACATGCTAGAAGTACATTTTCTTGAACAAAGTTTGTCTTGACCAGTTTCTTATGGAGAATACTCAGCAAGCATTTTGTAATAAACAAAAAAGGGAAGCAAACCTGTAGAAATTAGTACACCTCTGATGTTAATTTTTTTGTCCTATACGTAGAATAATATAGTGCGCTACAATGAAGAAGCAATCAAGAAAATGAATGGTTCTACCCACATACTTGCTGAATCTGCTAGATCTCAATTGCTAGATAACTCCCCAGGGGATGACGTCTCTTCAAATAAAATGAAAAACTCTAGTGAGTCACTTTCTCTAACTGCTGCTGTCTACGATATAGAGATGCCACTACCACCTTTGGCTCTTGCTCCATTGCAACATGGAATCAGGTGGGTTTCACTCGTTAATAAAAGCTCACGCTTCTTCTTATACTGCCATCACTTACCCCCCATTTTCCTCTCTCTCTTTCTCTCTCTCTCTCTTTCTATATATATGTTTATGTATGTTTGAAGAGTGATCAAATTGTTTTCAGATTAACTTTGTGAGAGTTATTTTTCATTTTCACTCTTGATATTCTCTTAATTTAGTGGTGAAAAATGAACTACTTAGTAGAACTCTTTAGATTAAGAGAAAATTTAAGGTTAATATGAGGAGTAACTCTCTTAAAGTTACTCTTGAAGCGACTTCATCCTCCCCTTCCTCTCTTTCTTTATATATACCCTCTTGATTTTTTTGATTTTCCACTCAACCTAAATAAGCTCTTAACTCTGCACTTTCTTTTTTGCATCAATAATATCTTATATATTTAATTCGTTCATTAGTTTTCAGCTATGCTTTTGGCTTTTAGATATTTTTATTAATTATTTTCTTGTATGCATTTTTTTGCTTATGCTCTTTTGTTAACGTCAGGAAGATCATGCAATGTTTCTGAAGTATTGACAGAATTAGTTGATTCAGTTAGACCACTTGCCCAGAGTCAAAAACGTTTGGTGGAACTAAGTGAACTCTCATCACCTTTGCTAGCTGCTGTAGAAGAACCTGCACTGCGCCAGGCTTTCAGCAATCTTATTGAAGGTGCTTTACTACGGACGAATGTTGGAGGAAAGGTTGAAATTGTATCTACTGCAGCACCAGCTGGTGGCACCCTTGTACTTATTGATGATGATGGTCCTGATATGCACTACATGGTAACTTCAGTTCACTCCCACTCCTGCAGTACTTGCTTGGTTTTCTTTTGAACGAGCTGGAAATTGTTTTATGCACGTAATTTGCAAATTTGAAGCATCTCCATGGGAAACTTGGGAACATTTAGTGCCTTGTGCTTGATCAACGTCTTAGTTTAAGCATATTTATTGTGAGAAAATATTGCAGCATTTTCCCAAGTATAACACTGCACTCGAAGCCCAGTCCTTATTTATATTCAAACAGTTCTTATATCGAGTGTTTAATTGCAAGTGGAATTGAATTTTGTAAAAATAGAAATTAATTGTCGGTTATGAACATGTATGCAGACTCAGATGCACTCACTCACACCTTATGGACAAGAACTGTTGTCTGATGGTATGATTGAGGACAATATGACTTGGAACTTTGTTGCTGGGATGACTGTTGCTCGTGAGATACTAGAAAGCTATGGCTGTGTCGTCCGTATCGTTTCACCTCGGATTAAAGATGCTCCTCTGGGAGCTGGGGGAACACGTCTAGAACTCTGGCTTCCTTCAACTGCAAAATCTGATTTGAGCAGCCACACCCAAGAGGGTATAGCATGAGTTTCAAGTTCTCATCGAAGATAAACACATCCATTCTCAAACAACACTACATTGTAGGACTTGGTGATTACAGGATTGTGAAATTAAGGGGTGGTAAATATTACTAGTTTTTTCTTCGTTATTGCTGAGGATCTATCTCTGTATATAGCTCGTAAAGATTTCTTGTTACAGCGTTACTTTTATGGCTTTGTTGTGTGTCATGTAAACATTTTTTCAACACACTCAAGTGTGTGCATATTACATCACATGAATACTTATTGGGTTTAAAAGAGTCGTTGTATCTGAGCTTCAGCTTTTGTACCATTGGAATGAATCCCCTCAATTTTGTGTAAAAAAAAATACCCAGTTTTGGAAATTACTCGTAATTTATCCTATTAACCAGCAGCAGAGAGAAGTGCACTGGTTAAAAGTAAAATACACAGACCAGATTTATTTGATTAAATTTAAATGAAGTGTTTTAATCTTGTTTTATTCTATGTTTTTTTAATTAAAAATGTGATACTGGTTAAAAAGTATTCTTATGTATATATTGACTGTTACATTTCATTGGTGGACCAGAGTAAAATTATCCTCTTGATTTTATTTCTTTTGTGTTAAACTCTTAACAACATTTTTTATTATCAGTTTTCTTTTTGTATTTTCTTGCTTCAACATTTTCTCGTCTCTTATTGAAAACAGTATGAAATGAGTTCATCATTTATACAGTTATAAAATATTTTAAACTGACCAAGTTAAGAAGAAAGAGAAATCAATACTAAATGTATAAATAAGTCTTTTGACAACTCAATATTTAGTGTTTTAAGTTTTAAAGTAATATTTGACATTTTCGAAATGTATTTTATCACATTTTCTTTGTCTTGATATTTCATAGAACGATACTTAATAGAAATCAAATTCTAAAGAAGAATACATGTTTTTGCTTTATCTTTTTTACAGTTATAAAATATCTTAAATCGAGTAAGTTATGAAGCAAGAAAAATCAATATTAAATGTATGAGCAAGTCTTTCAACACCTCAATCTTTAATGTTTTAAGTTTTGAAATAATATTTGACATTCTTGAAATGTTTTCCCGCACAATTCCTTTATCGCAAATACTTCATAGAAATCAAGTCTTAAAGAAGAACACTTGTTTTTGTCTTATCGTTTTTTTTTTCAAAAATGCTATTAATTTAGTAAGGAAATATTTGACACTTTAATCTCCTTAAAGATAGTATCCAAAAGACTTTAGGAATGTCATGCTTAATGACCACAAGACTCATGCAATTTGAGTATCTCTTTTCTCATAACTTCTTATTTCTTAAACGGTACTAGAGTTCTTAAGAGAAGTGAGTTTCTCAATTCTTAATACAAGGTCAAGATCCATACAATCAAGAACAATATCCATTTTATTTTTCTAGTCTTAAAATTTGTTCCATTAAGAACCAAAATTGAATTTGTACTATATGTATCTAAGACTATCTCGGCCTACACACCTAAGATTATCTCAGGCTTGCTTGATATCATCTTGATCCGTAATGATCAAGATCTTTTTGCTTCTCATATGACCGAGATGAACACCTATGGTGAATAGGATCACATTGACCTCATAACATTATAATAATAAGGATTATCTGAGTTAGTAAAAGTTAAGAACTAAAACGAATTAGCATATTATTAAACAAATTAATTATGATAATTATCTATGTGATTCAGGCCTAGCCAGACAAGGGTCTATAAACCTAATATAAATAACACAGTTCATGAGGTAATTAATTATGTATTCGTTATTACAACATTTATTACCCTCACTCATGCACACCTTTGATTTGAGTGTCGCGTCAAGTTGGTGTGTCTTTTGTAGGCACACCCTTGCTTAGAGTGATACTTAGATTTTGGAACATCTAAATTTGAAGGTTGAAGAATGTAGTGAAGAGCTTTTTGTGGAGTTTTTTTAGGGTATCTTCGATCTTGCTAGAACATTCAAATTAATCTATATTGAAACAAATAGCAACTGAATTAAGAATAAAATGAATAATTTAATTATGTTCACATTATAAAAAAAAATTAACCATCAATATGTTCATCATCTTAAGATACTAGTGTACCATTAATATCAAGTCATTAGAGAGAAACACTACTTACTAGTGATATCATATTGTAATGATCAAATATTGATAATAAAACATATTAAATAATAAATATATCTTTGGATTGATTTATCATTAATAAGTAAAATTTTACCATTATCACATGTTTATCATCACAAGTTTGTATACAATTCGTTTATTAATCTTCATTTAAGTATACTAATATTTGCCTTCATAAACATAAACATTTAAAATTTTTTACAAATAAATTTACCCAAGAGAGGTCACTCTGGTGACTTCTTGATTCATTCAATTCATTTAAAATGTTAAATTACCAAAATTTGAACATTGATGTACCAAACCAAAGATAAAAAATAACAATAAAATAAAATAAAATTCCAAAATAAGTTTCATTTTGAATTTGGAAAACACCAATTTTAAATAGCGTTGTATGTATAAGTTAATATGCGTAATCCAAATTTCAAAATTTTTAAAATCACACATTAGACTTTGAAACCACTTCAAGAAATTTTATAGCAAATAATAATTGTGTTGAATCACATGTTTTTGTTCCTAAGGAACTCGTACACTAATAATTCACGATAAAAATAGAATGCGAGAGTGTATCTGAATATACCATTGAGTGACATAGATAATGATATCAATAATAACAAGAAGTATATAATATTTCAATATAAAGAATCTTATACAGTTTTCTCCTCTTATGAAGATGAAGAGAAAATAAAACTTTAATAAAATATGTAATATTATCTTTTTTATAAATAGAGATCATAATAACATCTATCAATCATATTATAGATTCGTAAAATCATAATATTACTTTAAAACTACATAATGTTATAAACTTACTAATAACGTGTAACTTTATAATTTTAACTAATCATATAATAATCTTTAATACATTTAAATAATATATGTAATAAAAAAATTAAATATATATAATTGTAAACATAATCTATCTTACAAGTTGATTTAAACTTAAAATCATTTTTAATAACAATGTATATTTTTAGTTTAAAAAAATGTGTTAAACTAAATATTAATCTGCAAATCCTCGAAATAATGGATTTCACTCTTAAAACAAATGATATATACATTTTTAAAACATAAGATCAAAACAATTAATGAAATAATCATATATAAATATAATTAGGTGTCTCCAAAACAAAATTATTGAGCAGTTTAAATAAACCCCATGGATTCCCTGTGGCTGAATAAAATAACTAAATTATTTAAATTTCAACTATTCATTTCAATCAGAATGACACAGATTCCCTCATAAGATGATAAAATACTTAATAATTTCTAATCAGAAAATTAATAATTAAAACACAATAAACTAATAGTGTTACTCTGTAAAAGAATAAAAACTATAATTTACGATCTTAAAATAAAATAAAAAATAAAAAAAAAGGACAAAGAATAAATAGTATAATACAGTTTTATATATGTTACTATTCGAATACGAAGATTCACATATCAACTATTGCTGTGATCAGTAAAAAGAAAAAGAAAAAACTATTTATGCATGATTAGCTTTAAACTATATCTTGTTGGTTGTGTTAGATTCCAGTGATGGTTAATAATATTTGAAAAAATGAACAGTTTTTGACCTTTCATTAACAAGCAAGACATTTCGAAGATTAGTTAAAATGTCACTTTCTCCGACAAACACATGCATGCATCTAAATATGGCTACGTGCTAAACTATGAAATAAAATATTAATCTAAATTATATTTTTTATATAAATTAAAAATCATTAAGATAAAAAAATGTTATTCCTTGTAGAGTGAAAAGAATATGTCTTTGAGTGAAATATCTTTCATGGATATACATAAAGTTTTAATAGTTGGAAACACTGTGCTCAAATTTGGCAGCAACTATGGAGCCTGAAACCTTGTAAATCCAAATTAGGCCAACGTGGCAACACTTAAATATCAATATAATTTTTAATTTTTTAAATTTTATTTAGTATATAATGAGAATTAAATTATAAACATTTTTTTCTTTTATAAAATATACTATTTAATGTAAATAATAAAACATAAAATTGAATATACAACAAAAGATGAGATATTTTTTTTTATTTTCTCTTTTATTGTCTTTCTAGGTATTTATGTATTGTAATAATCTTTTATTCTTATATTTTTTTTTTGAAAAAAAAAGTTAGATATACAAAGTGATTCTTTATACTCTCATTTCTCATATATTATGTTCCATTTAAAAAATAATAATTTTCTATTGTTTTATTTGATAATGAAATATTATAGTCATAGTATTCTTTTATTTCATGAACAGTTTTTTATGATATTGTTTTATAAACAAAAGAAAAAGTTATCCATTATGTATTTTTTTTTCATATTTTGTTTTATTGTGGTTTAATATTACAAAAAATTCTTTTAGTAATTATGTCTGTTATTTTTATTAGATTTTGATAAATTGGTTTTTGGTCTTAAACTATGTTTTTTTTTTCAAAATATATTGATGAAAAATAAAACAAGAAATTTATTTTTTAAAATTGATAAAAGGGAAACTTCTCATAAAGATGAAAATAATACATATTTAACTTCTTCCAATTCTCAAACATGATATTAATGATATAATTGTTTAATTAGAAAAATTCTTTTTTTAAGATTAGAAGAACAAATTAGAAAGTTCATGTATAAATTTTGTTGTATTAATAATAATAATTAAATATATAAATTTTGAGTGTATTGTTAAAGGATAAGATATGTCGTCTTGTATAAGTTAACTTAAATGCGTTTTTTTAATCCTATGAAATGCTTTTTAAAGATCAAACATTGAGAAATGTTTGAGGTTGTAAAATGAATAATACTTTAAGTAGGATAATTAACTTCAATTATTAACGAATTTAACATTGTTTACTTATAAGAACTAAAACTCTCAAGAAGAATTTGAAATTAAAAAAAAAAAGAAGCTTAATCCCCTATTTTGTTCTCAGTTTCGCTCGACAATGTCAAATTAGTCAATTCTTTAAAACGTGCGTCAATTACATCCTTACTTAATAAAATTTTTATCAATGAAATCCCTTCCGTTAAATTCGTACAAACGGCTTTAACAGAAAGGATTTCATTGATAAAAATTTTATTAAGTAAGGACGTAATTGATGCACGTTTTAAAAGATGGACTAATTTGACATTGTCGTCAGCTGTTTGTACGGATTTAACGGAAGCGATTTCATTGATAAAAATTTTATTAAGTAAGGACGTAATTGACGCACGTTTGAAAGGATGAACTAATTTGACATTGTCGAACGAAACTGGGGACAAAATAGGGTATTAAGAAAAAAAACTAAATTATATTGAAAAAGAAACGTTATTTACTAAATTATATTGAAAACTTGTTGGTAATAGAAGGGATAAAATTTAGACCTTTATCATTTCAAGCTATGGCGGTGGAACTTCGTTCATGTTGCTGAAAGAAACTTCACATTTTTTATTTATTTGAGGAAAGTACAGTTTAATTTTTCTTAAACTTGCTTTTCTTGATAGAGACTTTAACTTTCAGTTCAGTGTCAATTTTTTTTAAACTTTTTTATAAATATTTATCTTGTTTATTTCACTTAATCTTTTAAATTTAACCTAATACACTTTTCAAATTAATCTCAATTTATCCTTAAAATTCACTCCATTTGTAAATAGTCTCATACTATAATGGAGTTAATTTACTAAATACTTAATAAACAAAACTTTTCAATTGTTTTTACTTTAAAAAATCACCTTTATAATAATTAAAAAATGATAAAAATAACCCAATTAACCGTGCTATTTGACAAGTTTAATAAATTCGTCTTTTATGTATTGATAATGAAATATTATAAAAATTCAATTATAAAATTTTGATAAAAAAAATATTGTAATCGGTAAAAGGAAATAAAATGAAATTTAACCAGTTATATTAAATTAAGAGTAAGTTTTCCCTAAAACCATAGAAATTTTCGTCAGATTATATATTTAAGCCTTTAGAAATATGCTGGTTTACGAGTATAACGTGAATATATCGATACCTTAACTAATACCGAAATGAATATTAACTAAAATTGCGAGTTATACATATACATAAAACAAAGCACTGATATTAATTTTAAAAATAGTAACCTAAAAATACTTTATTTAGCCACACTCTTTCACAAATAATTTTAAAAGAAAACAACAAGAAATAAAATAAAATAAAATAAACTTCTTTTTGGATAAATAATTTTTTATTAATTTTCAAATTGGTACTATTAAAATTGATACTTTTAAAATCATTTCAATATTTTTTAATTCAACATTTAATAAGTATAAAAAGTTAATCTTCTGAATAATTTTCTTCCTCTGAATTAACAATATTAATATGTCATTATTCTGGTAAATATTTACAAGTATCAACATTAGTACGTCAATATCATTAATTAAAAAATACGAATAACTATTATAATCAATTTCACATAGTTTATTAAATGGCGAGTATAAAAACGACTTGAAAAATTGAACATATTGTTGATTTAATATTATAATCAACAATATATGTCAACAATATTAAAAAATTGTTTTTTTTTGTGTAACCATGTCCATTTAATATGAAAGGTTTTGTTTAGTTATATTAATTCTTCATCATCAATACTTTTCACTATTCTATAAATCACCTTAGAAAAAAATAAAAAGAAAAAAAGCACACATAAATAAATGAATATTTTTTTCTATCTATAAATGAAGATAAAGACACGTTCACCTCAATTTCCATTATCTTTGGTATGAAAATTAAACTTTGATATTTGTGTATAGTTACACTCCTATCATTATTCTCTTATTTTCTTTGTAAATATTAAATTCTTAGGAATACGTTTATTTATACTTAACTGTTGTTCTTAATGTTTAAGACAATATTAATTATTTTTTCTAATTATATTTTTATTTTTCCTAATTTTTTAAATTAATTTACAATGTATTTATTTAGATGTACAAATAAATAATAATAATTTACAGAGAAAAACTTAAACCTGATTTTCGCACAATAATAATTAATCCCACACCCCGACTTATTTCGAGAATAGAAAGAACTAAAGCCTATAATTCCATTTCATATTTAAAAATATTAAACATGTTTTTGAAAATTTAGTTAAAATAATTAAAAAATTCAGAATTTGTTTTAAGAAATATTTTAAAAACTTAAGCTAAAATTTAGTAGTATTTAAACTCAAATGAATGGAAAATTCACTCAAGAGAGTAGTTATCAGTTTAAGAATAAAAATTGCACCGACTAATTTGTTTACATTTATATTTTTTATTTTAGCATTTATATCGTAAAATAAGTAAAGAATTGCATGTCTGATTATGTCCTATAAATAGTTTGGAAATGTTATGACATTTTTCTTCACCAACAGCTGAGACACATGACTTGTAAACTGCACTCACTTCTGCTGCTCCTACTTGGAGTGGTGATTCTCACCACTCCGGTCTTTGCTTCCTTCAAGCCACGCTTCTTCTACGACCCTCCTCCAACTCACAAACCACCCACCTACCAACCACCGCCGCCGCCGCCGCCGCCACCACCACCACACCCTCCATATCATCATCCTCCACCACAATATCAACCTCCTCATGGAAAACCTCCACCAGAATACCAACCTCCTCACGAAAAGGCACCACCTGAATATCAACCTCCTCACGAGAAACCACCGTCAGAACACCAACCTCCTCATGAGAAGCCACCACCTGAATACCAACCTCCTCATGAAAAACCACCTCATCAGAAACAACCACCTTATGAAAAGCCACCACCAGAATACGAGCCCTCCCCACCAGAATACCAACCTCCTCATGAAAAGTCACCACCGGAGTACCAACCTCCACATGAGAAGCCACCACCGGAATACCAACCTCCTAATGAAAAACCACCACCCGAATATCAACCTCCTCATGAGAAACCACCACCAGAATATTGGCCTCCTCATGAGAAACCACCACCGGAATACCAACCTCCTCATGAGAAGCCACCACCGGAGTACCAACCTCCTCATGAGAAGCCACCACCGGAGTACCAACCTCCTCATGAGAAACCACCACCGGAGTACCAACCTCCTCATGAGAAACCACCACCGGAGTACCAACCTCCTCATGAGAAACCACCACCAGAATACCAACCTCCTCATGAGAAACCACCACCAGAATACCAACCTCCTCATGAGAAGCCGCCAGAGTACCACCCTCCTCATGAAAAACCACCACCAGAACACGAACCTCCTCATGAAAAACCACCACCAGAACACGAACCTCCTCATGAAAAACCACCACCAGAACACGAACCTCCTCATGAAAAACCACCGCCAGAACACGAACCTCCTCATGAAAAACCTCCACCTGTGTATGAACCTCCTTATGAAAAATCACCACCAAAACATGAACCTCCTTATGAGAAGACACCACCAGTGTATGAACCTCCTTATGAAAAACCACCACCGGTTTATGAACCCCCTTATGAAAAATCACCACCAGTCTATGAACCTCCTTATGAGAAATCACCACCTGTGTATGAACCCCCTTATGAGAAATCACCACCTGTGTATGAACCCCCTTATGAGAAGTCACCTCCAATAGTGTACCCACCCCCACTATACCACCCTCCATACGAGAAACCACCATTTTACGAGCCACCACCATTGGAGAAGCCACCAATCTACAACCCCCCACCTTATGGCCACTATCCACCATCCAAGAAAAACTAATAACCAGTGCCCAAGATCACATGTTTTGGTCTGCTCAAAGTTAGACCTGTCGTTTGTCGTATAAAGTTTTTTGTTTGCGTTTAGGAAGCACTTTTAATATGTGAAGTACGTACAACCTCTCCTTTCTGCATGCACTGTTTCTTCAGAATAAAGGCTCTACGCCTCTTTGTAATGTATAATTTCAGTTTCCCTTTCATATAAATAAATATTGTAATGTCAATTATCAGTGTTTCTCTTTAAATCTTCTTCCTAAGAAAGATAAAAACATGATTATGTTCTGTACTTTATCAACTTCATAATCACAGGTGAACTAGAAACCATGATTAAAATTGCATGGCCTGCTTATTCATGTTTGAAATATTTGACATCAATGTAGTACAAACAAATAAGTGTGTATTCTTGGTTGGCAGCGGAATCAAGTTCAGACAGATTTGGTTTCCACCATAATTTTCTTGCCTAATTTTTATTTAAACATGACTTTGGAAATCCTGATGACGTGAGAGAATATGTGCAACTTAATGGGAAATGCATATATATAGTCTGATCGAATTAAATATGACTTAATCATTTTATATATTACACATTGAATTATATATTTACGTATAAATATTAAAATGAATATTATCGTATAAATACATACATACATATATATATATATATATATATATATATATAATATGTTAACTGCAATCAATTATAGAACGTATATGGTTGTTAGATAATAATAAATTAAAAAATAATTTTATAATTATTTACAAAATTAAAAAAGGCCATTATTATCTAGTGAAAACACAATAATAATTATTAATATAAAAATAAATATAAATAATTTGTAAAATAAAAAGTAAATTTATTTATTTATTTTGTAGGTAGTTTTTTAAAATAAAATTAATACATATTTTAATTTAAAAAAAACAATTACTAAAAGATAAAATTGTAAAAGAAAATGTGAATCTCGGCATAAATTATTAATGTTTCTATTAAGACTAATATTATTATTATTATTATTTAATTTTTATTAGATTATTATTATTCGTTATTTGTAATTGTTCTTCTTGTTACTGCTATTATTTTGCTTATTCACATTTTTAATTATTATTATATTCATATTTTTATTAGTTTTATATTATTATTGTTATTATTATTATTATTATGTATCTAATTATTCTTGTATTTTTTATAATATAAAATGAAAGATGATAGATGTTAAGAGGTGGACTTTAAGTCTATCTCAATCGTACAAAATCGGCTTGTATTGTGAAGTTTAAGTCTATCTCAACCCTACAAAACCGGCTTGTATTGTGAGGTTTGCATCCCACTTGTATATTATAATTTGGCTTTATCTATGATCGATGTGGGACTTTTAACACACCCCCTTCACGCCGAGGTATTAAAGCCATGGTTAGAGTGTATCCTAGCGAGATCTATGTGGCATTTCTGTTCCATCCGCTATTGGGCCGCTATTGGGCCGCTATCGAACCACCCATTAATTATACTTTCACGCTCAAGATGTCTATACCTCGACGTTAAGGGGTGTGTTGGAAGTTCCACATCGATTAAAGATAAGGCCAATTTATAATATATAAGTGGGTGCAAACCTAACCTTACAAGCTAGATTTGTGGGGTTGAATTAGGCTTAAAAAACACTTTCTAATATGGTATCGCCGTGGTTTTAGAAAAGTTAGATGGTTGAAAACTGATATGTAACAAAGGGGGTGGTTCATACTTAAAGTTGTCTAGTGTTTTTGGTGTAAAGAGGGGGTTTTAAGTAGTGAGATTTTGAAACAATGAGTGTAAACTATTTTGGATGGTTGGAAGTTTGTTTTAAATGGTATTAGGACTTGTCTAGGCTATTAAATGATAGAAATATGGTTTAGAATGATTGGGGTTATCTTAAGTTGAGTTATTGGGAGTTTTAGTATAAATTAGAGGTTTTGCATGGTGAAAACTTGAAATTGAGGGGCTGTGAGTATTTTGAGATGTTGGGATGTGATAACAAGTGTAATTGGACTTGGTTAGGCAATTGGTAAACTGTTATAAGTGTTAGAAAGTGTAAAAATTGAGTTTGGGTAGCTTATAAGAGTGAATTTGGGTTTCAAGGGGTCAAATTGAGTTGTAGTAGTGTTTTCAGTGTTTTCTCAATGTTTGAAGGGTCTTAGGGGTCTTTAGAAGTTGGGGTAAAGTGTGAAAGTGAGAAAAACATGTCTTGTTCTTTCTGATAGTGCTTGAGCGTCTGTTTCTAGTGGTCAGGGAAATGAACGCCAGCCCCTAGGCGCCTGAGTGCCATTGGGCACAGCTGGGCACTACTGCACCAGTTTTGGGGGGGGGGATAGGTCGTTTTAGGGACTTTGGACCCTTTTAGAGCTGTTGGTCATGGTTTCAAAGTTGTTTTCCTTATCTAAATGTGAGTATCAATATGTCATGAAGGAATTGTGTTATTGTGTAATTTCTGATGACTTGTAAGGATGTTTTTATTTCTTTGATGTATGATCAGTAGTCTCATGTATTGACATAATATGTAAAGGTGAAGTGATATCAACGGTTTCAAAGTTATAAAGGCTAGTTGCAAGGTGGAACTTCTTGGTTTGGTTCAAGTGTGGTAGAATGAATGTATGTAGCTCAGTGTTGGGGTTTTTCTGACGCTCTAATGGTCATACATTCTCATATAGAGAGGTTTGACGCATGTGGTGAGACTAACAGGAGGTCTTAGTCTAGGTGCTTCCAGTATGGCATATGACGCGGAACAAACTAACCTTGTGATGTGTGGTAGGGTGAAACCCAATTGACAAGAGCTTTACAAAGCAGTAGTGGCCACCACAAGTGCATAATCTGCCATAGCTTGACATTCATTCTAAGTCTGGACAGTCAGTTTAGGTCTTTTTATGCTAAGATGTTTGAGTTGATCTATACTATCTATATGATTATTATGTTTTAACTTATATGATGTACTGTTTTTAATCTAGCTTATCCTTTTGCTTTTGTTTGTGTTTGTTGTTATGTTTCCTTGGTTTGGTTTGGCGATGATTACTTGGTGGGTGTGAGTAGAGAGTGATGAGATGTCAATTGGGCAAACTATTAGTGAAGATGTTTCCGATGTTCCATTGCAGTAGTAGTAGATTTATTTGTTTTTTGTTTTGTTTTGTGGTTGAAATGATCATTCTTATATATAGTTTTGATATAACTATATTGTATATAAAATTTTAAATTTATAATTATTTTAGATGACTATAAATTATACTTTATAATCATTTCTCTAACTGATCTTTTATATTAAACACGTAATGATTATTATATAATATTATATTATATTTTGAGATGTTACATAAATCATCTTCCTTTGTTTTTTTATAATCAGTACCAATTTTATAAAATTAAATAAAATAGTAGTCTCACACCACATATAAATTTTATGAAATTAAATAAAATAGAAGTCTCGCGCCCCATAATTTTGAAATATATGTTCTCACACCATTTTTATTTGACTTATTTTTGTATAACTAATTACAACTAAATTTGTTAATATTAAAAAAATATTGTTTCTAGTTAAAGTAAAATTCTTTGAGCAGAAAAATAAAAAGTAACTTTAAAAGATTAAGTTAAGAATTCAAAGCTGGTTTTTTTTATCTTGACAGTGTCAATTAATTAGTGTTGTTTTTTAATATTTTGTAACAGAAACAACTCATTATTAGAGTGTTAATAACTCCAAATGTATTGAAATGTTAGATATTATTGAGTGAAAGAACAGAGATTAAAAAATATAATTGACAGAAGTAATATATATATATATATATATATATATATATATATATATATATATATATAAGTATTTTTTTATAAGGTGAAACGTACATGGTGAGGTGACAGGTCGAATTCGTTGGATGCGTGGATCCTTTCGTGCAAGACGACAACAAACCTAAAATGAAAAATAGATTTTCCTTTTAAAAAATTGATAGGGAAAATAAAAAGTTAAAGTGAAAAAGAAAGGAAAGAGAAAATGAAAACAAGTTTAATTATCAGAGTTATGTTATCCATCACGCATAAATTTCAACTGCAGATTCTTTATAAATATAATTATTTGAAACAACTCTTCAATATTTGACTTAATATTTGGAGTTGTTTAACTTTTTTTTAAATGTTTCACACATATTCAGAATTTTTATTGAAATAAAATTGTATATAATTTTTTAATCCAATACGACTATATATTATATTTTTAAATTAAGTATTGAAGAATAGGGGTAACAAAATATATCGAGCCGCCTAACTTACTTATCCCAACTTTATTTTTCGAGCCAAAATTTTATTTATTTTTTACTGAAAATTTAAAATGGGTTAACCCGCCAATTTTTTTTTACAAGAGTATACTAATTATGTTAATTTATCATTTAAATAATTGTATCGTTCATTTACTAAAATGTTAAAACAAATACTTATGTGATCGTTGTTTTGAAACCGAAATGTTAGCTTTTATATTTAATTTCTATCTTTCACAGTCACCAAGACTCGTGGATCTTTCCTATTTTGTGTAAATTTTTCTATAAAATCAAATTAATTCTTTTAATTAGTTACCCAGACAAAGAAACAAAATCATTAGCTATCTAATCAATACTCGTACTTCCTTAATTTGCATTAGCGAGCGGCTTGACTTTGTATATTTTTATTATTATTACTTTTATTACTAATTAATAATAAAAGAAAAAATAAATTATTTAGGTGAATAAATATAAATATGGATATGACTTTACACGGCAAGATTCAAGGGTGCCGTAAAAGAAAAATAGTTGAAAAGTGTGACTTAACCATTTTTCCGCTTGAATTTCCTCGGGTGGTAAGTATCCGTTCAGATCTTACTGTGCAACAGATGCAGATGAAAGCAAAAAGAAAATTACAGCAAATAGTTGTTATAAATTCAAATATTCGTCTCTGTTTAAATTTTTTGTAGTAATTTTCTCAAAAAGAAGTTGCACGGCAAAACAACACACAGAGAACAAAGTGATAAAAGCAAAGCGAAATCGGTGTTGGGTTCGGTGGTGTTACAAACCCAAAAATGTAAGAGAGAAGATTCCAAAGATCATTGTTCCTTCTTTTTCACCAATGTTTCTCTCCTCCAAGAACTCCATAACTACCACCGCCATTGCCGCAAACCTCAGATTTCGGTTTCCAGTAACCACTCAGAGTGTTGTTTTTCCTGTTAAAACACACTCTCTTTGCCAGATCTTGCTTCCAGA